TTTTAAATTTAAAACTGCAATTTTATGACATTAGTTGCAATAGTTGTCGGAGTATGACACTAAATTTCAAAAATTAAAGATAGTTAACAGGTATCTTTTTGTATTACTTGGAAGTTTCACGTTGTACTAATTTAATTGTATGTTACAGCAGATTTTTGGTGGAATACGTAAAGACCCCCAAGTAGCACAGCAATATGTCTGCGGACATCCAACGCTAAAATCCGGGTTTCGATACCCGTGGAGGGCAGAGCACAGATAGCCCATTGTGTAGCTTTGTGCTTAATTACGAACAAACAAACAGAATACGTAAATTATTTATTATTAAAAGTACTAAGACCTAGAAAATACATTGGGAAATATTTCATAATCATTCCTCCGGCTTTGTCTATCCCACAATTCTGTGCCCTAGATTCGCAAAGAGTTTCATTGCGACACTTTTAATTGAGTTTATAAAGTTGCTGCTTCTCAACTGGGCATTGTTACATCCATACTGTAGTCGGCATTATCAGTTTGCTACGTTGTCACCTTTTTACTTTCAATCACTTAACAGGCTGGGTAGCCTATTACATCTACATTTCAGATAATGTAAAATCTTTGAGGTATCATACTAAAACATGTTCAATAATTAAATATATACACCTATCTGATTTTACTATAAACAGAACACAAATATCATACTAGATGTACTTCTGTGGGGTCCCCCAAAATGTTCTGTTTCAAGAATAAATAAAACCAAGTTTAAGAGTAACAAATATATTTATTTGTTGCTTTTGAAGTTCCTATGTCATGCTGTGTTGTAGCCTACAGGGTGCATAATTCTTCTCGTGATTCATGGCATGCGCACGTTTTACTGACGTCACGACACTACAAATTACAACGTTAAGCGCCCATTATGTGACATCATTTTAGTGTCTACTGACTGATTGACAAACAACACACAACTCGATAGTGGTGGGAGTGGTTAAAACAGGTGATCCCTCCAGGCAGCCTTAGGCCTCCTTTCGGGGAAAATATTAGCAAACAACTGCCCTAATTATTACTTTAATATTATTAATTAAAATGTATTACATATTTCTGAAGTTTATTTTGTGTATGTTGTCGTAATGGATGGGAGAAAAAAAGACTTAGTGGATATCAATATCGCTTAAATGTTAAGAAACAGAAAGAGAAGTTGAAGGTATTAGTAAAACAAAATAGCTAGATTTATTTTTTGAAAAGCAAAGTACTAGCCATTGCAGTAATGTCTCCAATCTTACGAAAAGCTTAAAAATGAAGTTACAACAGACAATGATACTGGCAATCTTGCCAATATAAACAGTTCAGAAGAAGGCGAAATTGCAATTAACAATGATCCTAGCGATATTACGGATAAATCACCTGTTAGCGATGACACAGTTGAATGGGTAATCGTTGATTTTAAAATTGAATATTTGTTTAAATAAACGGTATTAAAGAAAATATAGATTGTGATTTTTCAAGATCTGCCAACAAATATTTCGACAGAACACATGTATAAATAAGAAGTACATTCTTTCGGCAATTGCTAAACGGAGAAACAAGGAATAGAAATTACCTTGGTGAAATATTTTGCTTCAAATAATATGAATGTGATTGTTTAAACATACAATTTATTAACTATTGTCCTGACTTCAACATTTTGATGCAGTATCGATCGTGAAAAAAAAAAAGACCGTGTATAGACTACGCCAGCGTTAATTCCTCAAAGAGTTAGTTTACCTGACATTTTTCCTTTAGAAAACACACAATGTAAGAAAATACAATAAAAATAAACAAATTTATCATAAATCGGTTTTCGAAAGGATTCAAGTGTAATATTAAACGTGGAAGCGAAAACAAGTTACGTATTGATGTATATCATGCACAATATTGTTACGTCTCCGTTTGTTAATTAACTTTCCGTAACTTCGTTCCGATGAAACTTTAGCGACACAAGCTCTTT